TGGCATATTCTCGACACCACAGGGGGTGCGCAGGGGGTGGTCTCTCACCGCGGCCGCTATCCGTGACGGTCGTCCAGGGCACAGCAGGCATGGCATATTCTCGACACCATAAGGGGGTCCTCAAAGGGTGGTCTCTCGCCGCGGCCGCTATCCGTGACAGTCGTCCAGGGCACAGCAGGCATGACATATTCTCGACAACGTAGGGGGTGCGCAAGGGGTGGTCTCTCACCGAGGCCGCTATCCGTGACGGTCGTCCAGGGCACAGCAGGCATGGCATATTCTCGACACCATAGGGGTGCGCAGGGGGTGGTCTCTCACCGCGGCCGCTATCCGTGACGGTCGTCCAGGGCACAGCAGGCATGCATATTCTCGACACCATAAGGGGGTGCGCAGGGGGTGGTCTCTCACCGCGGCCGCTATCCGTGACGGTCGTCCAGGGCACAGCGGTATCGGCGGGGCAACGGCCACCAACATCATTCTCACATGCTTCACTTCAGTTCTAATCTCTCCAGCCATCATATAAGTATGTGGGGTTCCTCGGTAGCGTAATTGTTCTTCGCCACCATTTGCCGCATGAGCGTTACAGCTCTGTTTCTAAAGTCCGCCCCACCTCAGAAATGGAGGGGGAGGGGGAGGATGGGGGGAGGAGGGGGAGGAAAACGTGTATGGAAACTGAACTGGGGCTGCCAGTCCTCGAAAACCATGTGGGTTAGCCAGCAAGGCCGGCCCAGCGATGAACATCAGCAGGGCCACATAAGATCCCATTGCCGCCACAATCTGGACATGGAGCAGAGCAAACTAGACATGCGCCAGCGATTCTTGGATACAGTAGGCACGTGCGGTAAGACATTTTTTTGAATTCGGCAGCGTTGAGGACCGCTTCATGGACCCTTCACTCCGAATCGCACGAGCGCCTCACTGTCACGCCGCAGAGCGCGATCCCACGATCGGGCGGCACGCAGGCCCCCCGATGAGAGCTGAGAACGGGGCTCCGAAGCTCGAAAGCAAGTTGCGCCCATGCGGTAAGGGGGGCCCCCCGTGCACGTTTTGCGCGCGGGTCCGGCCGCCCGTGTCTTCAGTCAGCCGCAGGTCGCCCCCAGGGTTCCGTCGGGCGCGTCCCTCTACGGGAGGAAGACTCAAGAATAGTAAAAAGAATAGTCTGCGGACGATCTTTCGACTCTTTTCGGTTGTTTTTGCGTATTTCTTGGACCCCTTCTTCCTTCTTGATCAAGAATCCACCTGGAGGAGGACATGCCGCAGGAGGGAAACAAAAACACAGACACACGTCCACCGTCGATTCCCCAGAACATAGGGGAAACTATGGGAAGCGGGGGGGAAGACAAACACCTAGGAAACATGGGAAAACAGGGGGAACCCTGACTCCGGATCCGCCCTACTTTGGGGAAATTCGTAAGTGGGGCTTACAATTTCCGCCCTACTTTTCTGTTGCTGTTTCTGTGGGTTTCCGCCCTATTTTATGTTGGGTGCAGCAATTTCCGCCCTACTTTTTCGGCCTCTTATAGGTGGATTTCCGACGCAATTTTAAGTTGGAAAAAGCCAAAGTAGGGCGGACCCGGAGTCAGGGAATCCTGTGATTTGTGTCTATTTCCCAACCCTCCTTGGTTGGGTATTCGTTTTGAATAGAGCACTGCTCGCGCGTCTCCTCCCGCCTCCCTCCTGCCTCCTGCCTGCCTCGTCCTGTCTTGCCTGCGGGGGGCTGCGATCTGTGAAAGTGTCGCTACTTTCGAGGCCTGCTGGGGGGCCCAGCACAGTGAGGCCACGCGCGGACCCAAATTAGACCTCGCCATCCCTGGGGGGCTGCGATCTGTGGAACTGTCGCCACTTTCGAGGCCTGCTGGGGGGCCCAGCACAGTGACGCCACGCGCGGACCCAAATTAGACCTCGCCATCCCTGGGGGGCTGCGATCTGTGGAACTGTCGCAACTTTCGAGGCCTGCTGGGGGGCCCAGCACAGTGACAAATTAGACCTTGCCATCCCTGGGGGGCTGCGATCTGTGAAACTGTCGCCACTTTTGAGGCCTGCTGGGGGGCCCAGCACAGTGACGCCACGCGCAGACCCAAATTAGACCTCGCCATCCCTGGGTGGCTGCGATCTGTGAAACTGTCGCCACTGTCCAGCACAGTGACGCCACACGCAGATTCAAATTAGACCTTGCCATCCCTGGGGGGGCTGCGATCTGTGAAACTGTCGCCACTTTCGAGGCCTGCTGGGGCGCCCAGCACAGTGAGGCCACACGCAGACCCAAAGTAGACCTCGCCATCCCTGGGGGGGCTGCGATCTGCGCAACTGTCGTCACTTTCGTGGGCTCCTGGGAGGCCCAGCGGAGGTAAGTCCAACGCGGACCACCTCGAGACCTCGCGGCGCCTTGGGGGGGCTGCGATCTGCGCAATTGTCGCCACTTTCGTGGGCTCCTGGGATGCCCAGCGGAAGTACGTCCCACGCGAACCACCTCGAGACTTCGCGGCGCCCTGGGGGGCTGCGATCTGCGCAATTGTCGCCGCTTTCGTGGGCTCCTGGGAGGCCCAGCAGAGGTGCGTCTTACGCGTGGGCGCTGCTCTTCTTGCTGCGCTCTTCTGAGTTCACTGATGGGTGCTCCTCTTCCGCACTGCGGGTTTTTCAGCATGCCCGTCAGCACTGAGTGGTCCCGAATGTAACCACCACATGTATAGAAAGGGTTGGGTACGTCGCAGGGTAATGTTTTTTTGCGTGTGCCAGGGCCCCTTCCACAGTGCCCGACCCAACCCCCGGGGGCCCAGGCCAGGGCTCCTGGCGGCCCTTGGCCAGGGTGGCCGCCCTCCCCCCCCCCCCATGCAGGGAAGGGGAAAAAACACACAGACAGAATTAATCGTCGATTCCCAGGAAAATATGGGAAAATATGGGAAGTGGGGGGGAAGACAGAAACCCAGAAAATATGGAAAATATGGGGAATATTTGTATTAGTGTGTATTTATTTGTGTGTCCTGGGGCTCCTTCACCCATGCAGGGAAGGCAAGCGCTGCGCGGCGGCGCGGGGGGCCGCGGGCGCCTTCGCAGTGCGCCGCGCCCCGCGGGGCGCGGGGCGCCAAGGCAGGTGGAGCAGGTCTTCAGCTCGCGACCCAGACCCCTTCGAGCAGTGAAAAACACTCACGACGGGAGGTCTTTTCTACGGTTTTCGGCCTCTCGGGGCCCTCCTCGGGCCTCGGGGCCGTCGAACAGCGGCTCAGGAGGAAGGGTCGGTCCTGGTGATAAGTCGAAGCCTCTGGGGGTCGACGTCATGCAAAAATCATGACGTCGGGGGTCTGGGGATCTTTTTCTCATTCAGTGTTTTGCCGATCGGCGCGGGCCCTCGCACCTCCCCCTCCCTCCCCCCCACATGGAGTAGATCTTGGCTGTTTTAGGCGCCTGTTTCCAGCAGGTGGAGTCTCTCCCCCACAGGACGCACTGCTGCAAACAGCCGCATGAAGCAGAGGTCCGGAGCCAGACCCCTCCCCCTCCCCCCCTTCCGCCCAACGTCGAAACGCCGAGCAAGAAAACGTTCACCCTCCCTGGGTGTTCGATCACGAGCCCCTCCTGGACCGCAACCGCTCAGCCCTCACGCCAGACACCGCAGGAAGCCGCCCGAAGCCGCCGAAGACCACCGAGCACCGCCCGAAGCTCTTGGCGCAGATCTCGCCTGCTCTCCCCCGCGCGCACGACCTCCTCCTGCGCCGCCCAGCTCCGACGGGCCCCCGCGCGCGCTCTCCCCGCGCCGCTCTCCGTGCCGGCGCATGGCGGCCTCCGTGCCCCGGCGCCTGCGCGGGCGCTGCGCCGGCTGGCACGCCCCGGGGCCCGCGGCGGCGGCGCTGCGCCCGCGCCACGCGCGCAGCGCCCGCGCGGGGCTGGTGGTCGTCGAGGGAGGAACAAAAAGCAGGGGAGGGAGAGCCACCCGGACCCGATGGCTGGCGTTTGCAACACTCGGGCTGGACGAAGGGGGGGGGGCTGGGAAGGGGGGGGTCACGAAATCTGCTGCATGCGGCTGGTTTCGGCCCGAACGAGGGGCCCACTCCTCGATACATAGCCGCCTCCGGCGCCGGGAGGCGCCGGGAGCATCAGCTGCGTGAGCTGATTCTCAAGCCCCCTCTTTGCTATCCTCCCCTTTCGCCCGGCCCGATCAACGGCCTTTGGCGTCAACGAAACAGCCCTGCCCCGTTCGATTCCTGTGTGGGCGTTTGCGGAGCGGCTTTTTTGGGGCGCTCGTCGGGGCGCTTGTTTCGGGGGTGGACAGGCCTCCTACCCTGACACGTCGATTAGTGAATGGTCCGTTTTCGGTTCTCGAGAGGGCGCCGCGGCCGTCATTTTCCAGGCTGGCGCCCGCCAGGTTTGGGCCCGAGGTCCTTTTCACTAAACCACGTTTTACTAAAGGGAGGTCTGTCCATCCCGGATTGTTACTGGGGGAGGGGATTGTCTGCCTCTCCGAACCGCCACAGACGACAAATTTGCGGCGCCCCGCGCGGAGTTCTCGGCTCGGCGCTCCAGCCCCCCTGGCGGGCGGCGCCCTCCGGCGCCGCCCCGGCGGGGCGCGCTCCGCGCGCCAGGGAGGGGGGTGCCCAGCGCAGGTCCAAGAAGCCCGCGCGGAGCGCCGACAACTTGTGTCTGTTTTTTGTTTTTGTTTGTTTGTTTGTTTTGTTTTTCGGTGTTGTTTTTTTTGCTGTTTTTTGGTATGTCTTTTTTTCTCCCAGGTCGGCGACCCGCTTCTGGCCTGGGGGGCGACGGCCGAGATGAGCGTCCGCGACCTCCTCTGACCCCGGGCCGCCGACGGGCGGTGGGCGGGCCGATCGGCCGATGCCGGGCGGGTGTGGGGGCCGGAGAGGGATTTGTTTCTGCCTCGGCACGGCTCGGACGTGTGTATTTTTCCCTCGGCGAGGAATCCTCTACTCGGCCCTCGTCGACGTTGTCCTCCTCCTCCTCCTCCTCCTCCTCCTCCTCCTCCTCCTCCGCTTCCTCCTCCGCTTCCTCTTCCATTTCCTCATCCTCCTCCTCGTCCTCATTCTCGTCCTCATCCTCCTCCGCCGCCTCTTCCTCTTCCTCCTCTTTCTCCTCCTCCTCCTCCTCCTCCTCCTCCTCGTCCTCCTCATGGAGAGCAGTTTGGGAACGGACGTCCGAGTGATGGCAAGCGGAGGAGACCCCAAGAAGTCTGATAGGTATCACGGTACGGCCCGAAGAGGCCAAAGTCGTATATGTTCAATGGTCTTTTCAATGTTTTTAGCTTCTCGCGTTTTCCAGCTTCCATCGGTCCAAGAGTGCCGAAGAGCCTCCCAAGACCGGCCCAAGACCACCCAAGAGACCCTCAGGACGGCCCCAAGACGGGCCAAGAAGGCTCCGAGACTGCCGAAGAGGCGCCCAGCACAGCCCCAGAACACCCCAGAACAGGCCCAAGATGGGCCCAAGAGCGGGAGCAGGAGGCTTCCAGAGACCTCCGAGAGGCCTCCAGGATCCCCCAGAGGCCCCCAACACAACCCCAATCTTTGAGAGGCCCCAAGAGCCGTCCCGAGAGAGCCCAAAGAGGGTAACATCGTTGATTTCCCTTGGTTTTTCCAATGTTTTTCGCCTTCTCACGTTTTCCCGCTTCCAGCCCTCAAAGATCGAGGATTTGGGAAAAAAGAGAGGGAATTCCAATAATTCATTTTTTCATCAAAGTGGAACTCCTACTCGGGGGTCCTACATATCCCCTGACATCTGGCCGGTACCGCGCCTCCCGGCTTCATCCGCAGAGCGAGTTTGCAGTGCGCTTGGACCCTTTTGGGACGTTTCTTTGAAACTGTCTTGGAGCGTCTTCTGGGCCTCCTGGGGGCCTCTTGGAACCCTCTGGGTGCCTTTTGCTGGACTGGAGCCCTCCTGGGAACCTCTTCGAGTGAAAACCTACGGTTTTCCGTCCGTGAACTCACTCTAGGCCCCTCGTGGAGCCGTCTTGGGGCACTCTTGGGCTGGCTTGGGGCCTGTCGGAGCCCCCTGGGGAACGGTCTTGGGGCTCCTTCCGAGGGTCTTCAAGGCGTCTGGGGCCGTCTCTGCGGCCTCCTGGGGCGTCCCTGCAGCCTTTTGGGGCCATGTTTGCCCGTTCAGGGGTCGCCCAGGACCTTCACGAGGGAGTCATGGATTGCAATCGATTGGACTGTCATCGATTGGATTGTGAGCACTTGGATTCCAATCGATGGGGGGCGCACGTGCGCAGGGCGCCGCGGCCGCCGAAGACGGCCGCCAGGAAAACAGGCTGTGTTGCGGCCTCGTCTTCCTCCTCCCTCGTTTCTTCATCCAGCCGCTGGCGCGCCACGCCGTGACGTCGGTCCTCCTCCCTCCTCTTCCTCCTCCTCCTCTCTCCTCTTCCTCTTCCTCCTCCTCCTCCTCCTCCTCCTCTCCTCTTTTTCCTCCTCCTCTTCCTTCTCCTTCTCCTCCATGTCCTCCTCCTCGTCTCTCCTCCTCCTCCTCCTCCTGCTCCTCCTCTTCCTGCTCCTCCTCCTCCTCCTCCTCCTCCTCCTCCTTCTCCTCCTCCTCCTCCTCCTCCTCCTCCCCCTCCCCCTCCATCTCCACCTCCACGTCCTCCACCTCCGCGCCACGGCCGCCTCAGTGGTGGAGGGGGGAACGAGTGCACTGCCGCTGCCACGGAGAGAAGGAGGAGGAGGAGGAGGAGGAGGAGGAGGAGGAGGAGGAGGAGGAGGAGACCAAGGACAGGGGGACGAAAGAATCGATGACGAGACCATTCGACATTGCAGTCGCCAGCGTCTGCGCTATAACCTAAGCGCGCGCGCGAAGCGCGCGAGTGGTTCTAGTATACATCTCTATATACATCTACACATACATATACACAACATTCATACACACATAATTGCATATTTGTATACATTTGCGCATACATATGCACACGTACAATCACACCCATATATATATATACACAGTTGCATACGCATATACAGCCACACATACATACACAACTACAAACACATACGCATACACATCCACACACGCACATCTACTTACAATCGTCCATCCATCCGTCCATCCATCCATGCATGCGTGCGTGCATGTTTACATACATACTTACACATACACACATGTACACATGTATGCGTATATGTACACACATTAATACATTCATGTTTGTATGGATGTATATACACATTCATTTGCGTATCCACATATAGATCCACAGCTCCAGGCCAGGCCCATCCTGGGCCCAGGAGCGGTGCGTATGCTTCTCTGGTCAAGCCAGGAGGGCGTACATACCGCTCCTGGGCCGAGGATGGGCCTGGCCATGAGCTTCTCGACGGGGGCTATGTAACAGTTAAACACTTCTCCCCTCCCCCCTCCTCCAACCCAGACCCGCGACGTCGTGATTTTTGTCACACCGTCGACCCCCCGATGTCTCTGCCCATTCCTTGGGACCGGCTTTTCCGTCCTGAGTCGGCTTCGGTTTTTGACGGTCCCGGGGCCTGGTACAGGCCCCCGGAGGCCGCCCTTCCCTTGCCTCCTCTCCCCTCTGCCTCCCCCTTCGCCCTCCCCAGGTTCCATTTCGCGCTTATTTTTTTTGGCGCGTTTTCCAATTTGGATATTGTCAGTCCTTCCAGAAGGGCGATCTCGCTCCATTTTTAGCATCACTTCCGCACTGCCTCCCCCGCATCCCCCTCCTCCTGCCCCTCTCCCTCCCTTCCTCCTCCCCCTCTTCCTCCTCCTCCTCCTCCTCCTCCTCCTCCTCCTCCTCCTCCTCCTCCTCCTCCTCCTCCTCCTCTCACTCTACCCTACCCTCCCTCCCCCCCTGCCTCCCCGCCTTCCCCCACTGCCTTCCCCCTCCTCCCCCCCCCCCGTCCTTGCCCCTCCGCCCCCCCCTGCCCCCCTTCCCCTTGCCTCCCCCTCCTCCCTCCACCCTGCCTCCCCCCCTTCGCCTCCCCTTCTCCCTCCCCCTCCTCCCTCCTCCTCCCCCTCTCCCTCGGCCTCCTCCCCGTTTGTCCCCCCCTCCTGCCTCACCCTCCCCCCTTTTCCCCTCTCCTCCCTCCCGCCTCTCCCCCCTCTCCTCCGCCCTTCTCCTCCTCCCTCTCCCCTTGCCTCCCTCCCCCTTTTGCCCCCCCCCCCCCTTCCTCCCCCCCCTCTCCCTCCCCTCCTCCCCCTCCCGTCTCCCCCCCCCGTCGCCCGCCGATCGCCCCCGCTGGCCTCCCGCCGTGGCCTGCGGGCGCCCGTCGCGGTGGACTGCGCGCAGCGGGCCGGCGCGGGCGGCTCGCACGCCGGGCTGTGGGAGCGCCTGAGCAGCCGCGCCCAGGCGCCGCGCGCTCCCTGGGGAGGCGCCCAGGCCTCCTGGAGCAGCGACAAACCCAGACCTCCGACGTATTGAAAAAATCCAGACGGATGTTTTTCTCTATTTTCGGCCTCTGGCGGCCCTCGCCGGGCCCCGGGACCGTCAAAAAAACGACTCTGGATGAAAAGCCGGTCCTGGGGAATGGGTCGAGACTTTCGGGGACCCCGTATTGAAAAAATCACGACATCGGATCTCTGGGAATAGCACGACGGGTTTTTTTCGCCAATCTTAGCCTCGGTCGGGTATGGCCAGGGCCCGGGGTGAGGGGACCCGATTCGTGGCAGGGCCCCAGAGCCTTCGAGTTGGCCAGAATCACTAAACCAGGTTTGCCATAGCTAGTGTTTTTTCGGGTGACGGTAGTTCTGGTGAGTGGAAAGGGGACGGGGGGGCGCCCCCGGTACAGATCACGAAACCAGGTTCCACTAAAAACCCTAATTCTACCAACGCCCGACTCGGGGCCGCCGAGAAACGGCTCGGGACGAAGAGCGGGTGCCAGGGAACGGGTCGAGCCCTCTGGGGGTCGGCGCTCTGAAGCAATCGTGGCGTCGGGGGTCCGGGTCGGGAGGCGCCCAGGCGCCGCGCTCATGTCCAGCTCCGCCGCTGGACCCAGGAGTCGAGCCTCGATCCTCGACCCTCTGGTCCTCCGATCCTCCGATCCTCCGATCCTCCTCCTCCTTCTCGCTCCTCCTCCTCGCTCCTCCTCTTCTTTCTTGCGTCTTTCCTTTTCCTCCTCCTCGCTTCTCCTCCTCGCTCCTCGCGCATCCTCCTCGCTCTTCCTCCTCCCCTCCTCGGGAGGCGGCGAGGCCTCAGGAGAGCTCCGGCGCTCCGAGCATTTTTGTTTTCGGTGCTCGGCGTCCTTAGAATTGATCCGGTCGAGGAGGGTCCTTCGGAAGGAGGAGGAGGAGGAGGAGGAGGATGAGGAGGAGGAGGAGGAGGAGGAGGAGGGGAAGGAGGAGGAGGAGGAGGAGGATACTCCGTCGGATCCAGCGGGTAGAGGGGGATCCGATCGAGAGGGGTCCAGCGGGTAGAGCGGGATACTCCTCGCTTCCACTCCCTCTTTTTGTTTTTTTCCGTCCGTGCCTCTGTCCCCCTCTCAGCATACTACTACACACAACACACAACAGTCAACACACACCACACACAACACACACAGCACACAAGACACACAACACACAACAGTCAACACACAGCACACAGCACGCAACACTCAACACAGCACACAAAACACAACACACACCACACAACACAACACACGACTCACAACACACGACACGCAACACACGACACTCAACACACGACACACGACACACGACACACAACACACAGCACACATCACACAACACACAACACACACCACACAACACACAGCACATAACACACAACACAACACACACCACACAACACACGACTCACAACACACGACACGCAACACACGACACTCAACACACGACACACGACACACGACACATAGGACACAGTACACAACACACAACACACACAACACACACACAACACGCAACACGCAACACACAACACACAACACACAACACACAACACACACCACACAACACAACACACAACACACAACACACACCACACAACACACAACACACAACACACAACACGCAACACGCAACACACAACACACAACACACACACACCACACACACACACACCGAGACATCTTATAGTATATGCATTGTGGCGGGCGCTTTCTGTCCACACCGCTGGGGAAACGATGTACTACAAGATGGGTCCAGTAGATGTTCGGGTCGGACGCGCGCCTCCGAGGAGAACCTCCAGCACCAGTATGTCTCTGTGCTCCCCACAGGCGCCGCGCTCCCTCGGGAGGTGCCCAGACCTCAGGAGGACTCCGCCCGCTCCGACAAAACATAGGAGCGGGCGGATTTTTTTGGCCGTTTGAGAGTTCCGGCGCTGCGAACGAGCAAAACACTGGAGCGGGCGGCTTTTCTGGGGGCCGTTTTTGGCCGCCGTGGGCCCTCGCGGGGACTCGGGGCCGCCCCCGGGGCGAAGCCCTGGCCCCGGGGAAGTGGTCCGGGGCCTCCCGTCCCCCCCCACACACCCAGGCCCCCTCGAGTAGAGAAAAAATCACGACGGCAAGTCTTTCGCCATTTCTTGGCTTCTGGGGGCCCCTTACCGGGCCTCGGGACCGTCAAAGAACGACTCGGGATGAGAAACTGGTCCCGGGGAGTAGGTCGAGACCTCTGGGGGTCGACGCCATGAAGAAATCATGACGTCGGGGGGGGGGGTCTGGGAAGTGCGGCCCCAGCGCTGCCGCAGTGCGTCCGGCACCGCGGCCTGTGGTTCCAGACCCACACGGCGGGGAGGGGTGTTGCGTCAAGCCCCCCCCCCCCGCCCCCCCTCCTCCCCCCACCATGGCGCCCGTCATCGCCGCGAATGAAAAAACGCTCTCCAGGGGCAATGCCAGGAGGGGGGGTGGGCTCACCACCGAGCGCGTTCCACTACTCGCAGAGTGCCTGCTCGCAAACGTCCAAAGGAGCCTGCCCGCCTTCGATACAATGGAGCTCGTTTGCCTTGGTGCAACGGATCCAGGCCATTTGCGAGTAGCTACCTTGCGAGTAGTGGAGCGCGTTTGTCTGGCTCGGGAGAGACGACTTTCTCGGAATCGAGGCTGGAGGTTTCTGGGCGTTTTCGTCGGTCCTCGGCGGCTTGCCAGACCTCAGGAGAGCTCCTCCTCATGCTCCTCCTCCTCCTCCTCCTCCTCCTCCTCCTCCTCCTCCCTCTCCTCCTCCTCCCTCCTCCTCCCTCCTCCTCCCTCCTCCTCCCTCCCCCCTCCCTTCTCGCTTCCCCCTCCCTCCCTCCCTCCCTCCCTCCTCCCCCCTCCGCCCTCCCTCCTCCCTCCCCCCTCCCCCGTCCCTGTCCTTCCCCAGCCGCCCCCCCCTCCCCCTCCCCCTCTTCTCCCCCGCTCTGGGGCAACGCCAGGGGGGGGGGACGACTTTCCCAGAATCGAGGTTCTATGTTTTCGGACGTCTGCGCCGGTTCGTCGATTTTCAAGCTTCGGGGTGCGTTCCAGCAGCTACGCGTCGCCGAGAGCGTTCCAGGGGTGTCCGGATCGCCCCGAACAGTCGGCTCAGACCCGAAGTATGACCCGAGAACAGGACGACGAAGATCCCTGGGGGAGACGGCTCAGGGGGGATGCATCGACCCCCGATCGCCCATTGATCGCCGATAGGGGCCTGATAATTCCCTCCCCGCCAAGGAGCGGGCGGTTCCGCTCTCGGGGCCCTGTCGTGGACCTGTCGGCGATGCATCGCCGATTCCAGGTCGATGGCTGGCTTCCTCCCTGGGCCAGTCCTGCCCTATCGTTGCGCTTCAGTGCCTCCTTCCATATCTCCGGAGGGTGCCCGACCGCCTGGAGTGCCCGTGGCACGCGTGTGTCTCAGCGAGCCCGACCGCCTTCAAGGGGCCCGGGCGCGGGTGACCCCCGCATCGTTGCATCCGCATCCGCATCCGCATATCTCCGAAACTTTTGTTTCTTTTTGTTGATTTCTTTTTGTTGATTTCTTCGATTTTTTGTTGATTTTTTCGATTCCTTTTTGTGTGTTGATTTTTGTTGATTTCTGTTGAGATTTGAGATTTGAGATGTTTTGAGATTTGTTCCGCAGTCTCTTGTTGCTGATTTCTTCGATCTCGGCCCCTGGGGGCAGTCTCCGTGCCCAGGGGCCACGGGGCGAGGCCCCGAGCGCCCCCATGCGCCCCCCCCCCCCCAGGGAACCGGTGAGAACCTCGCCGAAGACCTCACCTCGGCGGATGTCACGGGATGCCGCCGACGGTCAGCCCCCCCCCCCCCCCCTCGGGATGCCCCGGCCCCCCCCCTCGGGCGACGAAATCTATACATATCCATTGCTCCCTGGCCAGGCCCATCCTGAACCCAGGAGTTGTGCATACGCCCTCCTGGCCACGCCAGGAGGGCGCAGCGTATACACAGCTGCTGGGTTCAGGATGGGCCTCGCCAGGGAGCAGTGGATATGTATAGATGTCGTCGCCCTACCCCCGCCCTCCCCATCCAGATGCCCAGGCATCCAGCGCCGTGGCGAAGTCATGGCGGAGGGTCGTCGCCGCTCGGCCCCAAAAGTGGGGCCCCCATCACATCCGCGCCTCGGGGCCGCGAGAGAGAGCGGCTCGGGGCGGGAGCCGGCCCCCGCGGGAAGTGGTCCAGAGTCGGGCCGGACGAAAGGGGGGGGATTGGGAAAGGGGGGTTACGAAATTTGCTGCGTGCAGCTGGTTTCGGCCCCACCGAGGGGCTCATTCCTCGGCACATAGCCGCCTCCGGCGCCGGGAGGCGCCGGGGAAATCAGCCACGTGAGCTGTTTCTCAAGCCCCCCCTTTGCTACCCCCCCTTTCGCACGACCCGACAGAGCTCTGGGGACTTTGTACTGCCAGAGTTCTCCACGAGTTGCACATCCCCACCAGCCCATGCAGAAACGTTGCCCATGAGAGCTGGCGGGAAAGGGCAGGAAGAGGCACACGCAGGGAAACGAAGCGGGCAACCATGGTGAGTTGAGGATGCGGAGGAGGAAGGGGCCGAGGAGGAGGGGGAGGATATAGACGACGACGAGAGGACGATGAGGATGAGGAGGAGGAGCAAGGGGACGAGGAGGAGGAGGGGGAGGATATAGACGACGACGAGAGGACGAGGAGGAAGAGGAGGATGATGAGGAAGAGGAGGAGGAGGAGGAGGAGGAGGAGGAGGAGGAGCAGGAGGAGGAAGAAGAGGAAGACGCTGACAATGACAAGGAGGACGACGAGGGCAAGGATGAGGAGGAGGAGGAGGCGGAGGAGGAGGAGGAGGATAAGGATGAGGAGGAGGAGGAGCAATAGAACACTACAGTCCGAGGGTTCAAGTTGGCGCAGCGTCCAAAAGAGGAGGAGGAGGAAGAGAAGGAGGAGGGGGTAGACAACGGCGAGGACGACGGCGCGGACGAGGACGGCGAAGACGATCGGAGGTCGCCATCTATACACCTACGCACCGACCCAGGGCAGGCTGTTCCTGTGCCCAGGATCATGTGTGTGTATGTGCCTTGCTGGCGAAACCAGGAGTGTGTATACAACAGGTGTATAGGTGGCCCCCCCCAGACGAGGGGGCGTCGGCCGATGGCGGCAGGCGCTGCTCCCAGACCTGACGGCCGCGGAGCTCTGCCGAGCCTTGTTCGGCTTCTACCGCGCGCGGCATAGCGACGATGGCCTCCTCCACGGGTCTTGCGAGGCGATCCTGACGGAGACGCCCGGAACGGACCTGAAGCCGAACGACGCAGCGCTGCTGCTGAAGGCGGCGGGGATGTGCGCGGCCTGGATTCTTATAGTCGACCGCATATCGGATTTTCGGATTCTCTTCCTTGGAAATTCGAGACGGACGCATTGGGTATGGATCGACATCTGGCCTCTGACGAGGCCAGATTTCCTTCCAGATCCGCCGCATTTCCGGTGCATCCTTGCTCGAAAAAGTCCAGGACGTTGTGGATATGAACATAAATCTTGCCCTCCACCGCGCTCCCTCTCCAACGCTCTGTCTCTCCCTCCCTCTCTACCTGGGGCGGAGCGGCCGCAGCGACCTGGGTCACCGCGCAGGCCCACGCACAGAGAAGAGCGGCAATATTTCAGTCGGGCATGTCCTTCTACAGGAGGAATGTTCAAAAATAGTAAAATATTAGTTTGGAGACGATTGTTTGACTATTTTTAGGCATGTTTTTTTTTGTTATTTTTAAAGTTTCGTCCAAAATCCGCCTGTAGGGGGACACGCCCGACCTAAGGCAAGATCTCTTCTCGCCCCCTTCCTTCGCGGCGCTCGGCCGGCGGCAGGCGCTCTCGAAGCACAGGTTCGTGCACCTGCCCGCCACGGACTTCCTGCTGCGACGCTGCGCCGAGGAGCGCGCAGGGGAGGAGGATGATGAGGTCACGCGTCGTGTCCTCTTTTGCTTGGGTAGGCGGCGAACTCTGACGTCTCCAGCTTCCGACTGGGGAAGAGCAGGAGGAGGAGGAGGAGGAGGAGGAGGAGGAGGAGGAGGAGGAGGAGGAGGAGGAGGAGGTGGAGGAGGAGGAGGAGGAAGATGAGGAGGATGGGGAGGAGGAGGTGGATGGAGGATGGTGGGCAATGGGATGATGGTGGTCATGGTGATGGTGGTGGCGATGGTAGTGCTGGTGGTGGTGGTGGTGGTGTTTAACAGCGCCCACGGTGCTCAACACACGGGATTCGAAGGCGCCTGAGGACATCCCACGCAGTGCACACGACGCGGTGGAACTCGTAGTGGCATGGTGGTAATCCCGCGCGGTGACACACGCCCCTTGCGGTCTGGACTCCGCGGCGCGCTCCCGTCGATGCGCGGTCGAGCGAGCACGCTCCGCGCAGGGCACCCGGGGGCCGCGGCCTGGGAGCTCGGCCCGCGAGGCCGTGGATGCGGATATGGTTTCCGCCCACGATCGGGGGCGGCAAAGAGGGGGGTGATGACTAGGGGGGGGGTGGATATCATGGCGGGGGCCATGATATTTCCCCAGATCTCATGGCGCCTCTTCTTATTTCGTTACGTCCCCGGCCCCCCCCCCCGCTGGGCCGCGCACATGCCGCCGGTCATGGTTTGCACCCCCCCCTCTTGGACACCCCCCTTTTGGCCGCTCCCGACACGAGGCGGATCTGAGGCGCCCAACAGTGGCGTCCGGTCGGACCGAGGCATAAGATCGAGGTCGGCTCGGGGATCGGTACCCTGATGCTGTTCTTCGTGCCTGTGGGATGCTCCTGTGCACCCGGGGGGAGGGTGCTATCGAGTGTTCTTCAGCTTGGCCCGCAGAGGGCACCATGTTCTTGCAGGATGTGCTTCTGTCCTAGGTCCGACCGTGATTGGCGTCTGCTGAGCAGTCATGGGCGTTTGTGGAGCAGCCCTGCCCTGTTCGATTCTTTCTTCAGAACCTTTGCCCTGAGAGCCCCCGCCTTTGGGGGTGCTTCGTGCGAGGAGGTTCATCGGGGTGCTTAGTGTGAGGGTGGTTCCTCTGACTTTCGTTCAGGGGGGGGAGACGGACGGAAAGGAGGATGATGATGATGATGATGATGATGATGATGATGATGATGCTGATGATGATGATGATGATGATGATGATGGTGATGTTGATGATGCTGATGATGATGATGATGATGATGATGCTGATGCTGATGCTGATGCTGATGCTGATGCTGATGCTGATGCTGATGCTGATGATGATGGATGATGATGATGATGATGATGCTGATGATGATGATGATGATGATGATGATGATGATGATGATGATGATGATGATGATGATGAGGAGGAGGAGGAGGAGGAGGAGGAGGAGGAGGAGGAGGAGGAGGAGGACGATTGGTAACACCAGCAGCGGCAGATGCACCTTCGCGGGCCACAGGCAGCACGACGCGCAGCTGCGACCGGGGCAGGAGATCGGCGGGCGGCGTCCCGCGGTGCGGCACGGCTGCGACCTGCGCCCGCCCGCGTCGCCTCGAAGGCGGACAGGCCCGATCGGTTCTCGGGCCACTTCGGCGTCAACCCAGCATACGAAGACAGCCAACGCGCATACAGTAGGTTTGCGTCGTGTCGACCAGCGGCGACCCCAGCGCGGGCGTTCAAGGTTGAACGCCGCCGGCGGCCCAGAATCGATCGATGTTGAACGATCGGACGTTGCGGCAGCGGCCGATCGTTCAAGGTTGAACGATCCCTGCGGTGTCAAAAACCAACGCTGGGGTCGGCACGACACGAACCTGCCGTACGAAGACAGTCAACGCGCATACTAAGGATGGGCATCCTTCCCAAGGGCACACATGCATCTTTGCCTGCTCGGTCCATCCTTGGCCACTCTCGTTGGCCGCGCCCCGCTCGAAAGGCCTCGAAAAGGGTCGTCCGAGGCCCTTGCATCCTTGTCGCGCATCCTTATGATTCGGGCCGACTGTACTATCGGTGGCCACATGTGAACCCTACCCCCCACCCCCCACGATTTCTAGGGGGGGTGAGAGCTCATTTCGTTCGGGAGCTCCCGAGCGAAATGAATTCCCCCCCCCCCGCAGAAAGCGTGGGGGGCAGGGGGGCGGGTTCGCACGTGGTCACCTATACTGTGTGTGCGCCCCCCCTGGGGCGACGTGCGCGCCGAGACATCTTGTAGTACAGGCTCCGTGGCGGGCGCTTCCTGGCCATCCTGCTCGTGAGACGATGTGTGCAGCAACGTGCCTGCACTGCATGTTCGGGTCGGGCGCACGCCTCCGAGGAGGACACGTGGTACTATATAGCGTGCCCCTCTGCGTCCCAGCACTCCGTCGCCGACGCCGCGGTCTGCCCGGGTTTCTCCCTGCTGGAGAGGTGGTGGCGCCGAGGGTATGTGCGTGTGTGCGTGTGTGCGTGTGTGCGTGTGTGCGTGTGTGCGTGTGTGCGTGTGTGCGTGTGCGTGTGCGTGTTCGTGTGTGTGTGTGTGTGTGTGCGTTGGTGTTGGTGTTGGTGCTCCTGCTCCTGCTCTTGCTCCTGTTGTTGCTCCTGTTCGGCCAGACTCCTTCCCGGGCCCGAGCCGAGAGGGCAGGCGGCCTCTCGCGGAAGAAGCAGCGCCGCTTCTCGGGTCCTGGCGCGGGGCTCCGGCGGCCGTCCCGGGAGGGCCTGGGCGCCTCGGGAGGGGCCCAGCAAGCATATGCACTCCTCGAGGGTCTGACCTCCTCCTCCTCCTCCTCCTCCTCCTCCTCCTCCTCCTCCTCCTCCTCCCCCTTCTCCTCCTCCTCCTCCTCCTCCTCCTCCTCCTCCTCCTCCTCCGCCTCCTCCTCCTCCACGCGGACTTCTTTGAGTCGGCGCCGGGGCACGCTCGCTCATGCGCGTCCGAGTCCCGGCGCTGCTTCGAGCCACAGAGTGCTCGCCTGCACTGCAGCCCGGCCGTGCTGCAGTCCCGCCGTACTGCACCGAGTCGGGGCAGTTTGGTCGTTTTGCATTGGCTGTTGGCGCCTCACTTTCCTATACTTTCATGCCTCTCTACCCGGCATTTTCGGCCCCCCCAACGGTGTGGTGACCACTGTGTGGTGAGTCGGTGGGGATTCGGGGTCACCACACGGTTTTGGGACTCGGGCCGTTCTCCGAGGATGTCTCGGGCGACTGGGGCCTCCAGGGTCCCAAAGCCTCGTGGTGACGGACCGTGCGGCGAGGTCCTTGAGGATTCCGAGGCCCCCGCGCGGTCCGCCACCGCACGGTTTTTGGGTCCCCCCACATTGTGTGTTGAAGACAAGCAGTCCCCCGAATGCCCGCTGCAGGAGCTGACGAGCGCTACCGTTGCGGACAGTTGTGTTGTCCAAAACCTGGATCTGGATAGCGGCCACCTCAGAGGCCTTCAACACCCCTTCGAAGGAGCTCTGGAAGCTCCTGGAAGGAGCTTTGGGAGAAGCTTCTGGACAGCTTCCGGGCACACGTATTGGGAAGCAGTTCGAATAGGCCTTGCCCGCCGCCTCCTCCTCCTCCTCCTCCTCCTTCCTCCTCCTCCTCCTCCTCCTCCACCTCTCCTCCTCCTCCTCTCCTCCTCCTCCTCTCCTCCTCCTCCATCTCCTCCTCCTCCTCCTCCTCCTCTCCTCCGCATCCTCCCCCTCCTCCTCCTCCTCCTCCTCCTCCTACCTCCTCCTCCTCCTCCATCCTCCTCCTCCTCCTCCGCTCCTTCCTCCTCCTCATCCTCCTCCTCCTCCTCCTCCTCCTCCTCCTCCTCCTCCTCCTCCTCCTCCTCCCTGCACTGCAGCGTCGTCGCCCTGCACCCCGCCCGCCCGCGGAGGCGGCCGGGCGCGGCCGTCGGAGGCTCGGTTCCCCCTTCTCGGTCTGTGTCGGGGGCTGCGGCCCGCAGGTCGGACGTGCAGGAGCTTCTGATGGGCTTGTTCTCCACCACCACCACAAGTTGGAGGGGGAGGGGATCCTCCTCCTCCTCATCCTCCTCCTTCTCCTTCTCCTTCTCCTCCTCCTCCTCCCTCCCTCCCTCTCCTATATTTATATATATATACATATATATATATAAAAGTATGGTGGAAAATGGGCCCATCAGCTTCCAGTGGCCCGCCGCAGGAGTTGCCGAGCGCCACCGCCGCGGACATCTCGCACCTGCTGTCCGCCGTGGTGCGCCTAGGCGTCCCCCCCCACCCCTGGTCGGGCGGGGGCGGCCGCCTCCCTCTGGCTCGGAGGGGCGGCGGTGGCCGGGCTCCTCAGGCGAGGAGAGCGATGCACGTGCACCGAGCTCGGCCGGGCCCATCCTGGGCCCCCGGGATCGGTGCATATGCCCATCCTAGACCAAGGCAAGAAACCGCATGCACCGATCCTGGGCTCAGGATGGGCCTGGCCAGAATCGGTGTGTGTGTGTGTGCACAGTTCTGTACCAGGCGCTCCTTTGCAAGCACATCGTCTTCGGCACCGCCTAATTCCGGGGCTTTGCCCCCTCTTGGCCTTGACGTGAGGCCCCTCCTGCCTTCTTCCCTCTGTTAATTAAAGCTGTGCGCGGCCCGCTTAGCTTCGACCGGAAGAGGTGCGCTCTCGACCCGCGAATCAAAAAGTGTGTGTGTGTGTGCACAGTTCTCTCTCCTCCAGTTTGTCGGGCGGAGTTGGAGCTTGATCGCTCAGAGAACAACGTACGGCGTAAACATTAGGTGCTCGATTGTGGACCCCTTGTTGAACGCAGCCATCCAGCTTTCGCGCCGAAGACCGCTGGAACCCGCCAAAGACCGCCGGAAGCCGCCGAAGACCGTCAGAAGACCGCCGAAGACCGCCGAAGACCGCCCGAAGACCGCCGAAGACCGTGGAAGACGGCCCAGGAGCAATGGGTAGCAAGGGTCCCACGGTCGAACACGTAGTGAACATAGTTTCTCGGAGGCCCGCGTGGATGTCTCGGATCTGCGCCGGGGCCCTCCCCTGGCGGCGGCGCGTCCGGCGCCGCCCCTGGGGCGCTCCGCGCCCGCGATAGGGAGTGGGGCTCCGCGCAGAGCAGAGACATCCGCGCGGAGCTCAGAGAAGTTATCTTTACGGTCGGACCCAGGTATGAGATCAAGGTCGGTTCGGGAAGGACACCCTGATGTTCTTCGTGTCTGCTGGATGTTGTTGTGTATCCTCGGGAGGGTACCCTTGGATGCTCTGTGTGTTTTGGGCGGCGGAGGGTCTCGTGATCTTGAAGGGCGTTCTTCTGTCTTATGCCCCGCCGTATGTTAATACACTTGTTTTTTTCCTCTCGAATCGTCAGGGGCGTTGCTGGGGATTTTCCCTCCATCTCACGAAATGGCTTGTCAGTTACTATGTTTCGGGAGGGTAGCCAGTGCTTGGTCTGTGTATCCCATCATGGGCCTTGGCTCCCACAAACCAATCGTCGATCGACTTCGAAGCACCACGCCTTGGCTCAGAACGGCAGGCTGCGCGCAGGTGGCGAGCTCGTGCTTGAGGGCCTCCTCCTCCTCCTCCTCCTCCTCCTCCTCCTCCTCCTCCTACACAGAGCGTTCCAGAAAGAACCTCGCCTTCGGCGCGCCCCGCCTCGTAGGATGCCGGCGGAAGGATCAGAGTATCTAGAGAGGATGCCCTCGCTGTGTCACCCTCGCAGGGGCGGAGGTGCGCGGGGGCAGGATGTTAGGCTCGTCCTTCCAGCACCTTGACAGTGTGAGCTCGCCTGTCGTCCACCTCGCGCGTCTCCGCGGGCCGTCACATCGAGTAGTGGTAGTCTTCCAGCTATTAGTAGATTCACGCCGATGGCGGTAGTCTCACGCCGATGGCGCCACGACTGCGGTAGTCTTTCAGCTAGCCCGTCACGACACCTCCAGGGGCCCGACGCAGCAGGGGGTAGTGCGACCAGGAAGGCCGGCGGAGGGCGGCGGAAGCACAACGGCGGCGCGCCCTTGGACCGAAGCCAGCAGAAGGTCGGTGGAAGGCAGGGGGAATAAAAGAGAAGGATGGAGAAGCTGCCTTTCCCGCCCTACGCAACAGGAGGAGGAGGAGGAGGAGGAGGAGGAAGAGGAGGAGGAGAAGGAGGAGGAAGAGGAGGAGGAGGAAGAGGAGGAGGGAGGAGAGGAGGAGGGGAAGGAGGAGGAGAGTAGAGGAGGAGGCAGGAGGAGGGAGAGGAGAGGAGGAGGAGAGGAGAGGAGGAGGAGGGAGGAGGGAAGAGGAGGAGGAGGAGGAGGAGGAGGAGGAGGAGGGCGGGCGGAAGCGGCGGCGGCGGCGGAACTGCACGTGGGCTCCGTGAAACGCAGAGTTAGGAATAACTTTTTGACGGCTTGTGTCTCCAGGCCCATTGGAGCGGCCCCGACCAAGCGTGCCCAGCCAAGCACGCCAGGCGGAGCGGCGAGCTGTCAGCCGAGGCACCGAGTACACTTTAAGCTTATTCTTAAATCGGGCACATGCCTCTACAAGAGGAGTACTCAAACCTTGATTATTCTTGTGTTTTTGATTATTTTTGAGCTATTTCGATTCTGTTTGGAGTGCTTTTTTCGTCCCAAATCCGCCTGTAGGAGGATACGCCCGACCTAAGCTTATTATTTGCGCCCCAGATCGTGGCTGTGGTCGTTGGAAGTGTTCCTGGGCCCTCCTCTCCGGGGTTCCCCTGGGGTCCTGGCCGAAGTGCTGCTAGCACTTCATGTCCTGGAGATGCGTGGTCACGATGTTCTCCAGATCAGCTTATTTTTTCGGGTGTGCGCGGATGAAGGACTTCACCTGGTTGGATCTGTATGTCTTCTGCAGCTTGCAACGCGGGACGGCTTCTTGGAGCTCGTCCCTTGTCGGCCCGCCTTTGGGATTATTGGGCGGTGGGTGGGCCGCAAGGAAGGTCCGGATCTTCCCGATATCTTTCTCTCCATCGGCGTCAACCCAACATACTAAGACTAATGATATGTGCGTCGCTCCCCTGTTGGCGACGCGCGTACCGAGAAATCTTACAGTACATGCGTCGTGGCGGGCGTTTTTTGGCCAAACTGCTCGGGATACGATAGATTACAAGATGGGTACACTAGATGTTCGGGTCGGACGCGCGCCTCCAAAGATGACATGTAGTACTAGTATGCGTGCGTTCCACGATACCTTTCTTTCCAAGATGTTATGACGAGCTTGCCTCAATCAGCAACGCTACGAATGCCCATGGGTCCGGGTCGCCGTCCTCGTGGACACTCTTTCACCTCTGTGCGGTCGGCGTGGATCTTGTGCGCCTTCCAGACTGACTGTGCTGCCGTGCTGTCCGTCGCAACCCGGAAGCAAATGAGCACGACTGCCATGTTAATCGGACTCCCCGCGCAACTCGCGCCACGGCGAGTCCCGCGGGGGGGCTGCGAAGGGTGCTGGCAGACCGCCAGGTTCTGCTTGATATAGTTCGTTTGTTTGAGGCTCCCTTCTGTCGGCCCAAGGGAGCTTCCGCCCGGCGGAGCGGTGGCGGCGTGTGGCCGAAAGACACATGGGGGATGGATGATGCTGCTGCTGCTGCTGTTGCTGCTGCTGATGATGATGATGATGATGATTATGGTGGTGGTGGTGGTGATGACGGTGATGGGTGCTGATGCTACTGATGATGATGGTGATGATGATGATGCTGGTGATGATGGTGATGGTGCTGATGGTGATGATGATGCTGCTGATGATGTTGCTGCTGCTGCTGGTGATGGGGGGTGGATGATGATGATGATGATGATGATGCTGATGATGATGATGCTGATGATGATGATGATGATGAGGATGGTGGTGATTATGATGATTATGATTATGATGATGCTGATGCTGCTGATACTGTTGCTGATGATGGTGCTTATGCTGATGATGATGCTGATGATGATGCTGATGATGATGACGGTGATGATGATGGTGATGGTGATTGTGATGATGCTGATGATCATGCTGATCATGCTGATGATGTTGCTGCTGATGATGATGGTGATGGTGATGGTGGTGATGATGATGATGATGATGATGATGACGATGATGATGATGATGATGATGATGATGATGATGAGGATGATGATGATGATGATGATGATGATGATGCTGACGATGAGGGTGCTGCTGCTGCTGATGATGATGATGCTCTGATGATGATGATGATGCTGATGATGATGATGATGATGATGATGATGATGATGATGATGATGATGATGATGATGATGATGATGATGATGGTGGTGCTGAATAATATCATGATGCGTGTGATTATTGTGCTGCTGATGATGCCGATGCCCATGATGGTGATGATGCTGCAGATAATGAGGGTGATGAGGAGGAGGATGAGGACGAGGAGGAGGAGGAGGAGGAAGAGACGGAGGAGGAGGAGGAGGAGGAGAAGGAGGACCATAAATATCGTAACACCCCGCAGATGCGGATAATTTTGAGGGGGCGGTGGAGACGTCGGTAGTTTGCGAGACTCTGGAGAAGCCCGCCGCAGGCGCCAACGTTTAATACATTATACAAGTAGCCCGCCGCAGGCGCTGATTTTTTCGTTAAACCAATGTGGGTGGGTCGCGGGTGGGTCGCGGGTGGGTCGCGGGGTGGGTCGCGGGTGGGCCGCGGGTGGGTCGCGGGTGTAGAGGGCAGAACATCCACCCCATAATAATCACCCCGACAAGCGAAGCCGTTTAGTAAACGCACACAAGGAATGAATCGAACAGGGCAGGGCTGTTTAGTCAACGCCCAGGGCAGTTTTAGTAGAAGTCAATTGTCGGGTCTAGATGTCTTTTTCTCCCTTGAGGGTGGGTCGCGGGGTGGGTCGCGGGTGGGTGGTGGGGTGGGTCGCGGGTGGGTCGCGGATGGGTCGGGGGTGGGTCGCGGGGTGGATCGCGGGTGGGTCGCGGGTTGAGTCGCGGGTGGGTCGCGGGGTGGGTCGCGGGTGGGTCGCGGGGTGGGTCGCGGGTGGGTCGCGGGGTGGGTCGTGGGGTCGGTCGGTCGCGGGATGGGTCGCGGGGTGGGTCGCGGGTGGGTCGCGGGTGGGGCGACGACAACAAACAACAAGAACACCAACAACACCACCGACAACAACAACGTCATCAACAACACGACACCAACGACAACAACAGCAGCAGCAACAACAACAACACCACCAACAACAGCACCACCACCAACAACAACATCAACAGCAACACCAACAACAACACCACCAACAACACCACCAACAACAACAATCATTTTACTCTCATGCGCGATGTGTCCACACGAAGCATGCGACCATCATGCTAACCGTCCCCATCATGGGGGACTCTTGTTCTATAGTGGGGTCCGTTATTCTCATTCCCAGATCCCCCGCCCACTGAGGTCTTGCAAACACCTCCTCCGAGGAATGTCAACTTCGAAAACACATGCCCGCGCCTTGCTGCGCCGATGCGAGACCGCCAATGGAACCCCAGCGAAGGGAAAACACACAAAGAAGCATCGAACGGCAGGATTGCCTTGGTGGGGATCGAGTCTGTCGGCGGTGAGGCAAGGACCTGGCCCTGAATAGAAAGGGAGGAAGTCTCGAGCAGGGCTGCTATTGTTGCTGGGAGCGGCGCCAATGCTGAAGAGAGTAGGGCGCTAGTCCAGCGTAAAGCAAAACGAAGTCTCGAGCGGGAACGCTGGTTTTGTTGGGACGGCGGCACTCGGCGGCGAGGAGGAACAGAGCCTTGAGTAAGAAAGGAGGAAGCATCGAGTAGGAGCCGTAGGTTTGTCAGGACGGGGACTGTCGGCGGCGAGGAACAGCACCGTCCCAAGGAAAAGGAGAGGAAATCTCGAGCGGGAGCGTTGTTTTTGCTGGGAGCGGCGCCAATTGAAAAGAGAGTAGGGCGCCAGTCCAGCGTAAGACGGAAGGAAGTCTCGGGCGGGAGCGCTGATTTTTGTCGGGGCGGCGGTTTTCGGCGGCGAGGAGGAACACCGCCTTGAGTAAGAAGGGGGGAAGCATCGAGCGGGAGCCGTGGTTTTGTCGGGACGGGGGTTGTCGGCGGCGAGGAACAGCACCGTCTTCAGGAAAAAGGGAGGAAGCCTCGGGCGGAAGCGTTGTTCTTGCTGGGAGCGGCGCCAATTCAACAGAGAGTAGGGCGCCAGTCCGGGGTAAAACGGAAGGAAGTTTCGGGCGGGAGCGCTGGTTTTGTCGGGGCGGCGGTTTTCGGCGGCGAGGAGGAGCACCGCCTTGAGTAAAAAAGGGAGGACGCCTCGAGCGGGAGCGTTGTTTTTGCTGGCGGCGACTCCGATGAGAGAAAGACAAGCGCGCCAGTCCAAGGTTACACGGAAGGAAGTCTCGAGCGGGAGCGCTGGTTTTGTTAGGACGGCGGCTTTCGGCGGCGAGCAAGAACACCAGCCCTGAGTAAAAAAGGATGAAATCTCGAGCGGGAGCGTTGTTGTTGTTGTTGTTGTTGTTGTTGTTGTTGTTGTTGTTGTTGTTGTTCTTGTTGTTGTTGTTGTTGTTGTTGTTGTTGTTGTTGTTGTTGTTGTTGGGGGGCCGGTTTTGGCGGTTCCCCAAACCCCTCGAGCGTGAGCCTCATTTTCAATGAACATGTAGCCGGCGCCTCGGCGAGAGCGCCAAAGCGCCTATAAGGGGTCCAGCAGTAATAATTGTTTAGTAATTAACTTCCAACAGCATCAACACCAACAACAACAATAACAACACCAACAACAACACCACCACCAACAACAGCAACAACACCACCAACAAAACACCACCAACAACAACAGCAACAACAACCACAACACATCAACATCATC